GAAATAAAAATATTGTATTTACATTTCTGTGTATTTAGAGCAGTATAAAGTCATGTTATCTGTACAAAATTTTAGTTTGTACTGATTTCACTAGTGCTTTTTATATAGCTTATTTTAAAATTAGGCAGATTTACAATGGCACATCTATACCACACAGAAAATTTCTGCTCCTGCAGTTGATCTTGTGGTAAATTGAACTCAGAGGGTGCTCCCATTGGCACCTGTACTCCTGCTCCTCTGGAGGAACAAGGGAAGCCGATGGGAGCATGTGTGGACAGCATGGAAACACTATGTAAGATATGTCAACTCCAGCTACGTAATTTACCAGCTTCGACCTTCCAATGTAGTGTAGACCAGGCATACATGAATTGTTTTACCTACTGGAAAACCTGTATGTACTCCCAGTGATACATGTACCCTGGTTGAGAATCACTGCTTTAGAGGACTCAGAGAAATGGAGCAAGAGCTATATTTTACCCCAGAAAATAGATGGTGTTGAATATGAATATTTCTTCCCGCCTCAAAAGAGTATCAGCCAAAATAAAAACTATTTTCCTCTCATTTAATCAGGTTTCACTTACTTGGAATCTGAGATTAAAATTCTACTAGTGCTCCAGTCATCCACAGATTTTCAAGGAAAACTAAGTAGACAAAACCTCAATTTATTCTAAACTAAGAAACAAACAGGAGAGAACTCTTTTGTAAAGCAACAAACTTTAAGCCTTTCAGATTATCTTTATAAAATCATAAAAAACCCAGAGAACAAATTTAATTTTTCTCCTCCTATGCAGGTTTATTTATAACTAAATTTAGATTCTGTTGCGAATGAACCGTCATTAAGAGGCTACTGTGAACAAAGACTCAATGCTGAAATACGTCAAGTCCTCCAGTCCTTCCAGCAGAGATAATAGCTACTAGAAATGGGGATTTCATGAAAAGAGTCAGAAGTGAGCAGATTGCTAACAGTTCAAAGGGTAACTTCATCAAAGCACTGAGAACTGAATTTAAATCCCAAGAGGGAGGGAGATGTCTAACATTACATAAGAGATTCATAAACCATTTGTAAATCTTAACATTGCAGAGTGAGCAAATACCAAGTTTTGTAGCAGAGAATGGAATGCTAGGTGAACTTTAGTGGAACCAAAAGAAAGTCCTGCTTTCTTCAGAGTAAGTATCCTAACAGCTCAGAGATGGGAAAATGAATAGAAGACAACCTACACTGAGCAACCCAGCAGAAAAACCTTTTCCATTCCCTAAAGATAAATCTTTCTGGTAGCATTTTTTCTACTATTCAGTAGAACCTCCTGAATCTCTGTGGACCAAGAAGATTATGCAAGGACAGAAGATCAATGGCTGGTCAGGAGAAGAAAGTAAGGAAACCAAACCCATCTCAGATAGGTTGATTCAATCAAGGTAACTGTAGCTTCATCCTGACTGATTTTGTTTAGGATGCTGAGGATCAAGTGACAGTGGCAGAAATGAGTCTAGGAGATTCTTGGAGAAGAGAAAGGCAACCCTATAAAGAAGCAACACAAGCTTCCCTTTGAACAGAATTGCTCACATTTCCGATTGGATGTGGTGGCAAAAAAAATCTGTTTTCAGAAATCCCCAGGTAAGAAATATCTAAGTACAGATTTGTCTAGCTCCCACTTATGATCCTGAGTGAAGTGCCTGCAGAGATTGTCAGCTATGGTGTTTTGGAGAACAGGTAGGTAGGCTGCCAAGATCAGGACATCACGGCCTATTCATGAGTCCCAAAATGTCTTGGCCTTAGCATACAGGAAAGGGGGTCTCACTCCCTCTTGACAAATTATATAGTTTACTCTGTCCCTATTGTCTGTCATTGTGTGTGTTGCCATTGAATAACGTTAGATCATGGAAAGGGAGGTTCTATACATCATGGAAATCTTGAGAAGTGAAGCTACGATGTCCTGTGCATTACTAAAACTATACCACTGAAACAAGCTGCCATATCAGCCATAACAGAGAAACTTACAGCATTGTTCCAGCCAAGAGCTTCTCTTCTGCAATGACTTAAAACTGTTCTTGTATTCTTTTAGCAGATATTCAATAAAAGAGCTAAAAACTTTGTATATTAATGTGATTATATTTTGCCCATCACCAGACTGTCACCAGAACTGTAGAGTAACAGAAAAGTAAGGTTCAAATTTTTGTGGTCTTGTTATTAGATGCAGTCTTTGAATGGTATTGTCTACCATACTCATTCACTGAATTCAGTGTGGGGTGGGAAGAAAAAAATCATAAGCCCCTACCTGTGACATACTTTTTCACTGTTTTTTAGAGTTTGGGGATATAGAAGTAGCAGTCTGCTAGATGGAGGTGGCAGATTTTAACAGTGCTTAATTTATAGGGAGGGTTACTCATGCTGACAATGGTGTATACAAGATGTCGAGCAATTTGTGCTGTGTCACCTGCACTTCTTCAAATGTGATATGAAGGATGTCTGCTGACTTCATCATCAGATCTTGAAACTATTTGAAATTATCAGTATGAAACATTGGGCGGAATGTGTGAGAGAACCTCAAACGGGGAAGTAGAGGAAATATTAGAAAATGGAGTAATTTCCTCGTTAGTTCTCCTTTCCTGGTCCTCGAATATATCCCTGTTCCTTGGAGTCAAGTATCAGAGGGGTTGTCGTGTTCGTCTGAATCTGCAAAAGCGGTGAGGAGTCTTGTGGCACCTTATACACTAACTGAACTGTGGGCGCATAAGCTTTACTGGGCAAAGACCCACTTTGTCAGATGCCTGCATCTAACGAAGTGGGTCTTTGCCCACAAAAGCTATGCTCCCACACTTCGGTTAGTCTATAACAGTGGTCCCCAACCTGTGGTGGTGGCCGGGCGCCAGGGGGCGTGGCCGTTCACCCGCTGGGCGCCAGGGGACGGGGGCGGGGCCAACTGTGGGCGCATAAGCTTTACTGGGCAAAGACCCACTTTGTCAGATGCCTGCATCTAACGAAGTGGGTCTTTGCCCACAAAAGCTATGCTCCCACACTTCGGTTAGTCTATAACAGTGGTCCCCAACCTGTGGTGGTGGCCGGGCGCCAGGGGGCGTGGCCGTTCACCCGCTGGGCGCCAGGGGACGGGGGCGGGGCCCCCCCAT